TCTTCATCTTCATCTTCATCTTTTCTTTATCTTTATCTTTGTTTTTGCCTATATTCTTTGTCTTGTGGAGTTGTAATTCGATGAAATCCATCATATCAATCAAAAACTGAATTTTGTATTAGTTACGACTTTTGGAATTTCAGAGACGATGTTTGTTGCGTCTTTTGTGATTAAACTTTTAATTTATATTTGTTTTGTAAACCACCTCTCTGAGTCAATATGTTAACAAAAAGAAAAAGTAATCTTTGCCGTTGGTTCAACTTTTTGAATGAGCACACAGTTTGACTAAAAATTAGAAAAATGTGTAAAAACATCGATGTTTTCATTCGATTTTTAAAACATCGATGTTGCCACCGTAATTTAAATCCCTATGGGCGAAAAAAAAATTAATTTATTCACAGCAGGGTTGCATTAAAGAAAGAGTGTTGCCAGCAAAACTCAATTAATAAAGGTTGGGTAAAAATTTCGAACTTCACACAATTTTTGGATCTACATACCCATGAACGNTCCCTATGGGCGAAAAAAAAATTAATTTATTCACAGCAGGGTTGCATTAAAGAAAGAGTGTTGCCATCAAAACTCAATTAATAAAGGTTGGGTAAAAATTTCGAACTTCACACAATTTTTGGATCTACATACCCATGAACGAAAGACACAACGAAAGATCACGTATGAACAAGAGAGTGAACAATTTTTACTTTTTGAGCGGTTTCTACACCACCTGTTGCACTGGAAAACGAGCGAAAAGTAAACAAAGCAAAGAAAACGAAAAAAAAAATTATTGTCAGTCACTTTAAATGCACAATTTAGGTAAAATCAAAGAACGAAAATTTACGTTCTTTGGCGATACTACGGCCACGATACAAAAATTCGATCAATACAAACTGTGAGCTGCTATGTTTCCACGACAGTCGGGTATACGTAATCGGAACGACCCATATGTCTAGCCAAGGACTGACACTCCAGCTCTCTCTTTATAATTTTTATATGAGAAAGCGCCCAGTAACTCGTTTTTCGTTGTTGGTAGACTGCCAATCCCTTGGCAGATAAACAGCTGATACGCGAAATGGCGAGCTACCATTAGATGTGTGGAAAATGCACCACCTTGAATTTAGAGGATTTATTGCGCATGCATTTTTTAATATTGCTATAAAACAATATTTTTAACTAAACACGATTTCACTAGCATTTAAACTCTTAAATAAAAAACTGATATAAAAAATATTACAATTTCTGTTCGTTTTGTTTAATCAAAAGATTCTCTATAAACTTCTCAATAAATGCTCACACATGTTTTCGTCACAGTGGCTCTATTGGAAAACGTTATAAAAAATACAAACTTTCACAGCGCTCTAACAAAAAAAAGGTTTCATATCTAGTTATCCATGTCGGTAGTATCGCATCTGTTTGCAGCCTCCGTTATGTGGTTACGAGGAATTTACGCGTTTAGGCTAATTGCCCTATTAAATCAAGCATAATAATAGTTGCGTTCCCGCAGCAGTACGAATAGAATGAATTTACAGGATTTTACAGGCAGCTGTTCCCGCACGACACCTTACATAAGGTTTATTAATGGCGAAAACAGCTGTTCCTGTAAATCCTACAAAACCTGCTAATTATACTGCTGCTGGAACGCAATTAATATGCCAGTGTAGGCGACATATAAGGGTTTACAATCTTGGCAGCACTGATTTTATAGTAGTGGAAGCACTTAAGTCAATTTGGCGCCAACTTTGACAATTGACTNTTTTTTAAAATGTCCTATTATTTTACGATCATATTGTAAAACCATTCGATACAAANACAAAACCTGCTAATTATACTGCTGCTGGAACGCAATTAATATGCCAGTGTAGGCGACATATAAGGGTTTACAATCTTGGCAGCACTGATTTTATAGTAGTGGAAGCACTTAAGTCAATTTGGCGCCAACTTTGACAATTGACTTGTTTACATTTTTGTATTTTTGGTAAATAAAACACTAATAAAGTTAACTACCTAATTAGTTAACTAAATCAAGGTAATGATTTTATTTTATATTCTCGGGTAGCAAAGTCGATAATAAAATGTCCTATTATTTTACGATCATATTGTAAAACCATTCGATACAAACCACATGGTTCCGTTGCAATTGGATATTAATTGGATCTCGCAACAAAGCTCGGAGAAATAACCTGGCGTTTTGTGGAAAATCTAGGCCCTACCACTTAACCAACCACCCCCTTTCCGCACCAAAACCGAAAAATTAGACCATTACTTAGTTGAAATATAATAAAAATCTCAACATGGATCAATATCCCGACGAAGAGGAAGAATTCGAGCTTCGTTATCAGGAGGAATTGGAAATGTTAGAAGAGTTGCCCCCTGCCGAAAATGGTGAGTATAGTGAGAATGCTACTTCACTTCTCCTATTTCCTATATGACGCTCCCACATTTGTAGAGCTCTTCGCGCCTTCCACTTCAATCAATTCCAACAACACTTTCAATTCCGTAAATAGAATCGATACAATCAATTCTCCGCAACTATCACAAATCTCAACCGGGAGCAACACGGGTAATTTAGTTAATCGGCGACTATTTGGTACACCTAGTGGTCCACAAAAACGTATTTCATCAACCCCACTTGCAACAAATAAACAGCGGGCGGCGCTGGCGCCTATAGACGAAGTAGTGTGCTTGACGCCATTACCAGAATGTGAACCAGTAGATGAATTCAATGAAGAACCCAATGAACCCGCGCTCGAGTTGCAGGGCATGGGATTGCGCAATAAGCGACGCCTAGAACGTGATCTCTTTGGTGACATAGATGATTTGTATCAAAATGAAACATACGAAGATCCTGTTGCCAAAAAAGCGCGTACCGAAGAGGAACGTGATATGGAAATGATTCAAAAAATACTAGAAACACGCCGACAGTTGCAGGAGGTTAATAAAGCTGTACGAAAAGACGATTTGTCCCGTTTAAGAGCACTGCATGACTTCAAAATGCGTAATATGTCGTACACAGTACCGCAGTGGCCGTTTCAGGTGTTGCAACGAGGGGAGCATGAGCGCATTTTTGTTCGGTTTCATTCAGAGGAGTATGAAGCTCGTGCGCTGGAGGACATTCGCGCTTTGACGCAGTTTGATGGCTTACTAGGTGAAAATAAGCAACGCATATGGGCTGAAGCAAATGAAATTGTAAGTACGCTTGAGACGGTGGAAACCACTTTGCTTAATTAACCCAAATTATTTTCTTTAGGTACTCAAACGTACGGCTACACCCTCGCAGCAACAACAACAGGATGCGCAACCGCAAGCAGCAACCACAAGCACAAGTTCAACAGCGCCAAGAGGAAACCAGTCAAATCAAGAAGAACAATTGTGGGTGGAGAAATATAAGCCGCGCAAATATATTGATCTGCTGTCTGACGAAGCGACAAATCGCAGTTTATTGTATTGGCTTAAAATGTGGGATAAAGTGGTATTTGGCAGGTGAATTTGCTTAGTCCAGATGCAGTTATTCACTAGCTTAATAAATATCTTTTGCAGAGAATTCAAAAAGAAAGACCAACCGAATGCCAACAGCAGTAGCCACAATTTAAATACATTTAATAAACGCACGGGTAAATTCGAATCGAATGGCGGTTGGCGTAAGAGAAAATTTCAACAAATGTTGGATACCAATGTGGATGAGCATGGTCGGCCTATGCAAAAAGTCGCTTTGCTTTGCGGTCCACCGGGACTGGGTAAAACCACGCTTGCGCACACAATTGCACGACATGCCGGCTATGCTGTGCGCGAAATAAATGCTTCCGACGATCGTAGTCCAGAAGCTTTCAAGCAAGCACTGGAAAATGGTACACAAATGTCATCAGTACTAAATGAAGATCGGCGCCCAAATTGCATTGTGCTTGGTGTGTAAAAAAAATGTTCTTAATTATATAAACTATTAATGATCCTTTCTGGAATTATACATTGTAGATGAAATCGATGGTGCACCCCGTCAGTCGATTGAATTTCTAGTTAAATTCGTGAGCGACAATGCGGTAAACAAAGCGAAAGCTAAAGCCAAAGGCAAAGCGGAGCGCAACATTCTTAAACGTCCAATCATTTGTATTTGCAATGATATTTATGAGCCAGCGCTGCGACCCTTGCGTCAAATAGCATTTGTTGTAACATTTCCACCCATAGAGGCCTCACGGTTAACAGAGCGGTGAGTTCGATTCCTAAAGCAAGCAAACGGTTTACTGATATGACTCTGTTTTCTTCAGACTTCTTCAAATAGCGCAAAGGGAACGCATGAAATCCGATTTTAGTGCATTGTATGCAATGGCCGAGAAATCGGGTAATGATGTACGATGCTGCATATCAACACTGCAGTTCTTCAAGTAATATACAAAGTATATACATATAAATTGTATACGAAATTCACTACAAAATTTTGTATATTTTTCTAGCGCGCAGAAAAAAGCCTTAACGCTGCAAGATGTGCTTAATGCCAACTTGGGACAAAAAGACCGGCAACAAGGTTTATTCGATGTATGGGGTGCTGTATTTAGGGTATGTTCCGAAATATTTTTAATGTTTTTAGATCGAATGCAGAATTTTGTTCTCTTTTCAATCACTTTTATAGATACAACGTCCTCGCAAGCAACTGGGGAAATCCAAACACACCGACAATGCGGATGATGTTGAAATCACAATGACTGACATGTCGATTAGTACACGCGTGCGCCATGTATTATATGTTGTCCATGGTGGCGGAGATTATGAACGGTAATTGAGCTTGAAAAATTGTGTATTAAGGTAAATTAAGAACCGCCTTATTTTTGCAGTCTAACGCAGGGTGTTTTTGAAAACTATTTGCATCAGAAAATGCCAGATCCCAACTTGACTGCTGTCGTTGAGGCAACAAAGTGGTTTAGCTTTATCGATCTCGTCCAAAATCAAATTAATCATCTGCAGAACTACACAGTTTATCCTTATTTGCAGTTTGGTTTCGCCGCCTGGCATTTAATGTTTGCCTCACTTGCTTGGCCGAAAATAAACTTTCCCACAAAAGGCTTTGAGGTGAGTGCGCGAATATGTAAAGATTACCGACGTCAGTCTCAATTGCTTTTAATTTGGCTGTGCATTGTTGTTTATTTAATTTAATTGTAGCTTTACCTTTATTGTTTATTTGGTACCGACTGTGCCGACTCCTTTTGTACTTTAAATAAATTCGACTATTAGACCATTTTTGCAACGAACAACGTTTGCAATATTACGCCGACCTAAACGGGGTTAAACGACAGCCCTTGGTCGTGTAAAACCCAAGTCGTTCCGGTACGTAGAACCGGCCGTCGTGGCAATGTTGCAGTTGTGCCCAACGATTGCTCAGCATGCGGAGAGACACCCCACGACTCGAGACATTTCTTCGCATTCCCACGGCAGCCGGTTCTACCTAGCGGGATGACTCGGGGTTTTACCCGACTAAGGGCTGTTGTTTCGGCGCAGTTTAGGCTGGCGAAATCACACTGGACCACTGAGTACGTGGCCCCTTGCTGCGCCAATCGAGTTGCCTCCACGGCACAACAGAGTCCGCCAGAGCAACTCAACTTAAAGACAACCGCACCACAGCACATTACAATAGACAATACCACAGACACAACAGACCACACTACAGACAATCTGTACCGTGCGCCAGTCCAGGATATTCCGTAATGTGACATCAGTTAAGTGCAACACCAGCCTTGGCTGGTGTCACTTTAGGGCATGCTCAAGACTGCGCACCACGCGAGATTGGACGAGGGACTATGAGGGCCCATGCTGTGCTGTTCGGTCGCAACCCCCAACTGCGACACCGCCCACTAACACCTGAGTGCAAAACCCTCAGCAGAAGCACAGCATATGGCGGCACGTCAACACACATCACTAACACCCCACATTCCAATAAGTCTCCCTAGGCACACGAAGAGTTTACAATTCAACTGCAATGGACTTCAGAGCAACATCGAGAATAGAACGGTCTTCATTCGTCGGCACGGAATATTAATAGCTGCGGTCCAAGATATGAAGCTGCACGGCAATTCAACACTGTTGAATTGCGCCGCATATAACGTGCACCATCGAGATCGCGAGCGAGTTCAATGGTGGAGGCCTAGCTTCATCACGCACCACACCGTGCAGTATCGAAGCAGACATCGACCGACTTCGCTTCCGCGGATCACCGGAACTATGTCAACTTTTCTAAAGCTGATTGGAAAGGCTTCGCGGATGTTACTGAAAGCGCCTTCGCTGCACTACCCATACCAACCGACGTTCACGTAGGTGAACGTAAATTCCGCAGGGTTGGCACTGCTGCTGCAGCCTGCTTCATCCCAGACCCTCGTGCGAATTTTCCTGCTGGAGCGGCTGTCCTACCTGATGAGCGCGACAACCTTCGTCACGCCGATCCCGGAAATCGCCGCATTAGGGATCTCAACTCGGAGATTCGGCAACTTGTGAACGTACATAAGCGGAAGAAATGGGAAGAGCATCTGAAGACCTGCAACTTCGCCTCTGGTGAGAGTAAACTTTGGTCATTGTCCAACCCGACGAAGCGTGACGACAGAGTTGGAACAGACTTTGGTGAACACGTTTCGTTGGACCCGGAGCGATGCGCGAGCTATTTCAACGGCAGTTCATCCTGCAGCCTCCGGTGGATAAAGCCATATGTCGAGTTACCAGAAGGCTGCACAAACTGCCAAAACCAAGTGCCCCTCTTGTTTTCACCAGCGGTGAGGTAAGGGTAGCCATCGGGAAGGCGAAAGCCTCAAAAGCCATTGGACCCGACGGAATATGCTGCTGATGCTGAAAAATTTGGGCCCTACGGGAGTAGCTTACTTAACGGAGGTCCTCAACTTGTCTGAGTGGTCGCCACTCGTCGATAACTTTTACGTCGATGATATACCAATTCCGGCGTCGAACAACCCGAAAACACTCGGAGTAACATTCGATAGTCTGCTCTCCTTCTCGGCGCATACAACCGCAATTGTCAACAAAGTACAAAGCCGCAACAAGGTCCTCAAACCGCTAGCCGGCAGCACCTGGGGCAAAGGCAAAGAAACGTTGCTGGCAACGTACAAGGCAATTGGGCGGCTGGTTCTGAACTACGCTGCGCCAGTGTGGTCACCGGGGACTAGTAGGACGCAATGGATGGAGCTGCAGACTTGCCAGCACACGGCACTTAGGACAGCGACAGGATGCCTTCTGATGTCGCCGCAACACCACCTGCACGAGGAGGCCCACATGCTCCCAGTTATGGAGCATAACATNCGCTGCACTACCCATACCAACCGACGTTCACGTAGGTGAACGTAAATTCCGCAGGGTTGGCACTGCTGCTGCAGCCTGCTTCATCCCAGACCCTCGTGCGAATTTTCCTGCTGGAGCGGCTGTCCTACCTGATGAGCGCGACAACCTTCGTCACGCCGATCCCGGAAATCGCCGCATTAGGGATCTCAACTCGGAGATTCGGCAACTTGTGAACGTACATAAGCGGAAGAAATGGGAAGAGCATCTGAAGACCTGCAACTTCGCCTCTGGTGAGAGTAAACTTTGGTCATTGTCCAACCCGACGAAGCGTGACGACAGAGTTGGAACAGACTTTGGTGAACACGTTTCGTTGGACCCGGAGCGATGCGCGAGCTATTTCAACGGCAGTTCATCCTGCAGCCTCCGGTGGATAAAGCCATATGTCGAGTTACCAGAAGGCTGCACAAACTGCCAAAACCAAGTGCCCCTCTTGTTTTCACCAGCGGTGAGGTAAGGGTAGCCATCGGGAAGGCGAAAGCCTCAAAAGCCATTGGACCCGACGGAATATGCTGCTGATGCTGAAAAATTTGGGCCCTACGGGAGTAGCTTACTTAACGGAGGTCCTCAACTTGTCTGAGTGGTCGCCACTCGTCGATAACTTTTACGTCGATGATATACCAATTCCGGCGTCGAACAACCCGAAAACACTCGGAGTAACATTCGATAGTCTGCTCTCCTTCTCGGCGCATACAACCGCAATTGTCAACAAAGTACAAAGCCGCAACAAGGTCCTCAAACCGCTAGCCGGCAGCACCTGGGGCAAAGGCAAAGAAACGTTGCTGGCAACGTACAAGGCAATTGGGCGGCTGGTTCTGAACTACGCTGCGCCAGTGTGGTCACCGGGGACTAGTAGGACGCAATGGATGGAGCTGCAGACTTGCCAGCACACGGCACTTAGGACAGCGACAGGATGCCTTCTGATGTCGCCGCAACACCACCTGCACGAGGAGGCCCACATGCTCCCAGTTATGGAGCATAACATAATGCTTTGCAGGTAGTTCGTGGTTGGGAGCCACAGATGTGGCAACCCAAACAGGCAACTCCTTGCAGAAGAGCCTTCGCCCAGGCACGTCAGGAGCCATCTATACGAACTGACGGACGAAGTCCAGAGGTTCATCAAACAACCTTTGGACCCGACAGCCTATCGACAGGTCTTGAACGGCATTCACAGAGAGGCAGTCTCCAGTTATGTAGACTCCCGACCTGTGAATGCCGTTCTGGGCACAACAAAACACGTGGACGAGACAGAACTTCATCTGCCTCGGGAGACTCGGACCACAATAGCCCAACTGCGCTCTGGTTACTGCATCAGGCTGAACTCATACCTGAGCAGACTAAGCGAAGATATCCCAAATGAATGCCCGGTATGCGGAGAGTCGCCCCATGACTCACAGCATCTCTTCGCATGCCCTCTAAACCCCACCACGCTAACGCCCCTGTCAATATGGGCAGACCGCGTCGAAGCTGCACGCTTCCCAGGNAATATGGGCAGACCGCGTCGAAGCTGCACGCTTCCCAGGGCTGCCGTTAGTGGAGCTTGACGACAACGACTGAGGGACTAACCGATCTGCGCGGGGTTGTTGTAGCCGCTACAACAAAAATAACAAGGGCTTAACATGGTATTTCATTTGCAACCGCTGCATATTTTCATCTATGGTACGGCTGCAAAGAGTGCTCTCAGGCTCTGAGAGGCCATTACAAGGAAGACAAAACTAATTTTGGGCATGCAGCTAAATACTGAATGAAAAGAAAGGGGCCGGCTCAATGGAACTAAAGCTGACATACAAGCCAGCACTGATTACATTACTTCTGTTTGGGACTTCAATATTCATGTACCTATTAGGTTCGCGACCAGAGAATAAAGGAATGCAGAACTGCCAGTAGCAGAAAAAGGTATATCCATCCCCACAGTTGGTTCAAAGATGCAACACGGAACCAGAGCCAGTCTCTATTCGAAATACACGCAGATCAATCGGTCCTTTCATCTACCGAACGATTACAGTATCTTCCAAGCAGAGATCTACGCTATAGAAAGGCCGGCTAGTATTTTACTTAGTAGTATAGTTCCAGAAGATAAAGCCACTATCTTTGTCAATAGTCAATCGGAACTGAAGACTGTGCGGTCTAAAATGGTGAAATTGGGAATCGTGTGGAAATGTCGCACCGCTGGCGTTACTGGGCCTCCCGATGGCCAGATACGATACGACACAGAGATGCCAATAGAAGAAGCGGATAATTACGTACGACCGCCGTACGTTGGGAAAATTTAATTAATATTAATGACTTGTGGAACAAACGGAAAGACTTTCAGATCACAATATTATTATGGCCGCGGTTTAGTAGGAAAAATACGACAGACACACTGAAACTCAGTAGTAAGAGTCCTTACCGGTGTTATCACAGGACACTGGGCTAAAACACTAATACTTCAACGAAGGCGAATACTAACAAGTACCCTCTGCAGAAGTTGCCGTGCCGAGAATGGGGAGGAGTCAATAGTCGAAGCGCCTTAAGCACTTGGATTCATGCTTCTTCAACCGTTTGGGCTAGATAGCGGAGGAGGGACTGTTGGATCACCTCGGCATCATTAGGGATAGTAATTTGTTCAATAAAAATTATGAATTGAAGTACTCACGATCTAGAGAGACATAGGTGGCGTATTCAGCAGTACCTCTACTTTGTTTTTAGCGAATTTGACAGAATCAGCATCATGGAAATGTCCGCGCTAAGTTTGTTCTCGCCTAGATGAACACAACTACGATTTGTTTAGAAATGCCAATCGACGCTATTGTTTCTCTCCTACATCTCCCTTACTCGTTGCTTCATGACGTCATCCCCATGAGGAATGTGCAGTTTTTTATTCTATTATTCTTAGAAGGTACCTAGCTACTCTCTCGGTTATGGGTACGTATCTTCTTTTGATACTCGCTTGTAGAGGACACTCTCAATGGACAATTTTGTCTGCGAGTGAAAGTGTGGAATATACCATACACGCCCTCCTAACCTAAACTAAGCATCCCCGAGTTGAGTGCTTATGAGAGTTTCCCTCGAGGGAGGGCTTAGCCCTTGACGTAGAAGTAAAGCGATGGTATGTTGGCAGGTTTTTTGCTGCTGCTTGGTTGCTGTCAGCAAAAATATTCCCAAAATCGTTTGTAGGGAATGAGCTGGAGTGTCAGAAGTTGACCTGATATAGATCTGGGTCGTTCCGGTAACGTAGACCCGACTGTCATGGGAAAGGCTGATGCCTTGCTCTGTCGACGTGATGTACTACGCTGACCTTCTGTAGTCCGAGCATTCCAGTTTAACTCCTAGTTGTCCAGAAGATCTTTATCTCTCTTTTGTTAACATTCAACAACAGTTCTCAACTCGCTGACTCAATTACAAATTGATTAAAAGCAAATATACACCTATACTCGATCTGCCAGCCATTAAAATGCCTAAGTAACAATCTCTTAGTCACACCAGACCTTCAGAGTGCTATGAATTATGCAAACTTCATTACGCTTTACTGAGCTTTATCAAATATTGCCATATTCAAGCAGGTCATCTAACGCTTTTACATACATACATAGATACTCATACTAAGTAATACTGCAATATTCCATTGACAATCGCTAACTTCTTTCCCCTGCTGCTCGCTCTTGGGTAGAACGAACGTCTTTCATAGCAGCAGTCATAATAATCATGCAATCAGGAAATATGTAATTTTTATTATACACTCTAAATGCAATCACGAGATTAATGACGGTTTTCAGTGAGTAACTGCTGCGGCTGAATGGACATATGTAGCCTGAAGGCGAAATGATCCACATACATACATATTTATCTTTTTTGCAACTCAAAGGAATGCTGCATACAAAGAATGTTGGAAAAGAATTTGCGAAAATGTAATGAATAAGTGCAACATCAAGCATTTAACCTTTTATCTACCCACCTTTCTTTATAGGTATGTACGAGTTTTACCCCCGCTGAACGTTTGTTTGCCTACTTAACTGTGCATTGGACCGTGGCGCTTTATGAAATGCTAAGTGTTTGAAGCTTATGAGTTAATTTCATATTCATGCAGTCAGTGTAAACATACTTAGTACAAGTTATGCTGTATGCGAGTATGCATTCAAATGCTGGACGGTCTAAAACAGCGCCCATACGGCTCCACCAAAGCTTTCTCATAATTAACTGCTCACCTAGGAGGCATTTATAGGCAATTGCTTTGCATTGCCCCCGCCTTCGTCGTTATCGTCGACGTACATTATGCCTCTCATAAGCAAATAAAAAATGTATTTGGCAATTAACAAAATTGCGCTCGTTGCGCCACCGCAATGGTGCCATACATACCTACATACATACATACATACATGTTGCACTATTTTTTAAACCTATTTTAAATTGCACTTTGTGGGTGCTATTAATTTTTCTCTTTTATATCGTTTATGCTCTTTCTTCTTCTTTTTGCTTTCTCCTCCTCTTACTTATTCTTTTATGTATTTTTCATATTCACATTTTTTCTTGCATTGCTTCTTATTTACAGTTCAGACAGAAGAGCATCACCCAAAGCAACATTTTTCAAGCTTTTCGTAAGGGTATTTCTACGGGTATGCATGGTCTGGGGCAGGGTCATGTCATTCTAGTGGACACTGTACCATTACTCAAGCGCATTTTATCGCCAAATTTCGTTCGGTGGCCGTACAATTGCTGTCTCAAAGGTGAGTAGGGGCTTAAGTGGTTATTTGAAGTACTAGTAGAACCACCAAAAATTTTGGTTTTTGAATTTATGGACTTTTCTGGTAGATTTTCAACCTAAGAATTCAAATTTGTTGTCAAAAGTTGACTAAAAAAGCTTTTAGATGCTAATTTTTTAAATTTCAAAGTTTCATCTAAATTAACAACTTTTTATTCAGGTTTTCAATTTTTTTTTATAGCCCATTAAATTCTAGTATAATGAAGTGCAAGTTTTGAGTTGAAAATTTTTAGATCTGGCAACGCTATTATCAGTTTTGCCCAGTTTAGTTTTTTATTTCATCACGAATGGATTAACGCCAGAACAACATCATCAATAAAAATCAGACAGTGACTTTTACTTTTAAAAGTCATCGATATATGTAAATCAGTCACCGACTTTTATTTTTTAAATCATTCGTATAAAATTCATTAACATTTTTTGCAGTTAAGAATGTGTTGGAAAACAAAAGTTTACTACGACTTATACAAATGAGNTTTTGAGTTGAAAATTTTTAGATCTGGCAACGCTATTATCAGTTTTGCCCAGTTTAGTTTTTTATTTCATCACGAATGGATTAACGCCAGAACAACATCATCAATAAAAATCAGACAGTGACTTTTACTTTTAAAAGTCATCGATATATGTAAATCAGTCACCGACTTTTATTTTTTAAATCATTCGTATAAAATTCATTAACATTTTTTGCAGTTAAGAATGTGTTGGAAAACAAAAGTTTACTACGACTTATACAAATGAGTTTTATAAGTATGATTTAAAAAATAAAGGTCAGTGACTGATTTTTATTTATGACTTTTATTTATAATTCGATAACTGTTATGTAAGGCGTATAATTTTAAAATCCAAAATAACTTATTATACCCGAGCGCACTTGTGCACAAGGGTATATTAATTTTGTTCACATAACGGTTGTTTGTAACAGCCAAAACGAATCGGGATAGATATAGACAAATGTATACATAAATGCTCAGAATGAATAGAGAAGTCGATTAAGCCATGTCTGTCTGTCCGTCCGTCCGTGTACACGATAACTTGAGCAAAAATTGAGATATCTCAACGAAATAGGTATTTAGGTCTCCATTTATCCAAGGTAGGTTGGTATTGAAAATGGGCGAAATCGGACAATAACCACGCCCACATCCCATATAACGGTAATTTTCGGAAATACGAAAACTGCGATATTTTAGTAACTTCAAAATTAATATTTAAAACAATTTTTAGACGAAAAATAAGAATATTGTAAATTTTTGGAAAATGGGCGTAGCCACGCCCACTTATGTGTATATCTTGGCACAGTTGTTGGCGNAACCGCTGCACCAATTTCTTCCAAACTTGGCACAGTTGTTGGCCCTGGTACAGCATAAAAAATCGCCGAAACTTTTTAAAATCGGACAATAACCACGCCCACATCCCATATAACGGTAATTTAGAGAAATACAAAATCTTCGATAAATCAGTAAATATTAAAGCCTAACCAAGAAATACGTTTATGATAAAATTTTGGAAAATGGGCTTGGCACCGCCCACTTATGATCACTTATATGTATCTCGGTAACCGTTCTACCATTTTATACCAAACTCGGTATGGTTATTGTGCCTGCCACGTAAAAGAAAAATGTTGAAAATGATTGAAATCGGACTAAAATTGAGGCCGCTTTTCATATAACGGTAAATTTCAGAACTGCTTGAAACTTCAAAAGTTCGAAATTTAAGGACTCTAATTTACTCAAAATTGATACGCCCCGGCTTACCACGTAGCGGTAGTTCGGAAAGGTGAAAGTCATATATTAAATACTTGCGCCGGGAATTTAATGTTCGGCTCCGCCCGAACTTAGACTTTCTTACTTGTTTTCAGATTATTTAGATAAAAATCAAAAAAAATTGTCCAATTAAAAGCCAGAAAAAATGGTTATTTAAGGAGTAATTAAATAAAAGTCAAAAACTAATTGTTAAGGAGCGATTTTTTTAATAAAAGTTGTAACTGCTACGGTCCCTGCTTAAAGACTATCCAGAAGAGATTTACAAGACACCGTTACATCCACAAAAACTCGCTGTAAAGCAATGATTGCCGATTGAATGTGAAAGCTCAAGTAACGCTAGGACCAGGGAGCGCGGTTTGGAAGAGATTCGACCTTGGGGGTTAGATGAAGAGGGGTTAGATTTCTTGGTTTGAGTGCTTATATGAAGTATCGCGCGTGCGTTCAAGGTAGGTGATTTCGCACTATCTGCATTTTTTCACATTGAATAAGTCTTTGACAACCCCTCAAATGAAGCTGTTGATCGAGACTTAGGAATAAGAGATGTAGCTGCCCCTATCCTGCTACGCAAAGGAATTGGAGTAAAGTTGTGAACTAGATTGGTCGAAACAGCAGTGCGCTAAAATCGCGAGAGGTTGCCTTTAGGAGGGCACTGTTCCTTCTGGGGATAATTAATAATAAAAAAATTTTAAATACCGTCTGTGACAATGTTCAAAGAGCATTTATCCTGTCTATGTCTAGATGGTGCGGTGCGGTGAGCCTAAATATCAACGCAATCGTAATCGTTAAAGAATTTAGCTCCGAAGTGAAATATCTCTGGGTCATCTTTGAGCCCAAAATTTTATAAGGGAATTACGTAGTATGCTGTCAGAAAAGCCACACGAGTCCTAATGGCAGAAGTGTGCTGAAAAATCATAAACATACACCTTCTTAGACCAATAGTAAAATATGGGGGAAGGGTCCGAAAGGACTGTGTTCAACACAATGAGCTGATCGCTTACCAGCGCCCAGAGAGTACCAGAGAGGGAGAACAAGTAATGTCAGAGTGATTTCAAGTAGATTTCGGGAGGGAAATATAAAAATGAAGACACAAGGTTTAACTAGTGCATTCTTTATAGCAGGAGGCTAACAGACTGCCACCCACTCAACATGACCGGCATCCTTCCTTGCTTTAAGACCAGATACTATCAAAGAGAATTCCTACGGCGCATAGGAGCGGCTGCTTAGAAGAGCTCATCGAGAGCGCTCGCACTGTATACGGTGGCCAAAAAACGCGTATAGGGAGTTAAACGCCAAGAATTTTAGAAAGCTAATCACTCTTCAATAGAAAAGTTTAAGGTAATAATAACGGCGGGGACCCACCTAGGCACCCTTGGCAGTAGCTCAAATGCCTACTGTCGTCGCTGCGATGTTGTGGACGAAACTTGACGCATTTCCTACTAGAATGCGAAGCGCTCGCTAGAGAAAGCACATTCTGGGCGCTGTAACCACAGGTTATAAACGTTTCCGTTTGGGTTTCGTCAAGGCTTAGACGATGTGTTGTGACGAAATTGTTTATTAGCTCCATGGTCCGTCTGGCTCAGCGGATGACGTTCGTATGGCTGACCATTGTCTTTGAAAGCCATAAGGTGGCTTCTGACGTTTACACAAGGAGCCGCGTGGAAGGGTGAAAAAAAAGCAATCAGGTTACTTCCAATATTTTTGGTTGATTAACCGTCGGAAGGTTTACTGACTTCATCCATGTTGTGAATAGGGTAGCTGTTTAATGTGTAGAGGAGAACGTAAAGCTCAATGCAACGAGGAAGTGGCAGCTGTTTGGTTAAGGCAGTTTTGGTAGAAAAAAATTTAAAAGAAGCGCGGATGTAGCACCCCTTGTTTAATTTTCCGTAGTTTAGATATAGAAAGATCACTGATAATTGCCAACCGCCCAAGTAATTTCTAAAGAAAAATAATTACTTTTATGTTTCTATATTCTCCACTCAATTAGAAAAGCAATCGACAAGCATTCAACTAAATTTTCTAATATTCATTGTCCATTCAAAGTTATTATTATTTCGCTCTGTTTTTTTGAATGTTTCAGAGAACGTGATGATCTCTATCATGCCGTTACAGTTATGGCCGATCTTGGATTGACATATACGCAAGTGAAGGCGGCTGAAGGTTCATACGTCTTTCAAATGGAACCCGATCTGGATGCTTTGGCACAATTTCCGGGTAGGTATTAGGTTCTTAAAAAGGACTAAGTCAAATTTATGTACAGCGGTAGCTACATAATTAGTGACACTACTTTTTTTTACAAGTTTTGACCTATTATTTTTCCTTTATTTATTTTATTTTTTTAATATATATAGTTTATACAACAATGAAAACCATGTAACTCAAAGTTTCAAAAAGAATTGAAGAAAAATTGCCAGATCAAAAAAAAAAAACGGTCATCAAAATTTCAAACTTTTTAATCAGAATTTTTAGAAAAATTTGGGAAGTTTGGTAGCCAATTCACTTTTAATACTGTGCAAGTTTCAAGCATTCATTTCATTTTCTCCTTCAACAACAAAAAAAAATTAAAAATTAAAAAAAAAAAATTTTGGCTCATGTAAAAATTTCTCTGTGCCAATTTTTTTTTTCAGCGACCGTAGATTAAATTTGCATTGAAAATCCTCATTGACTAAAAGTTAAATTCCCTCAAATAATAAGTAAACAGATTTCATTTTCGCATGTATTTGCTATATGTATAGGTATTCTTTCTTCTTCTCAAAAGTGCATTTCACTGTAATTTCCTTTATCGCCATCTTAATATTGGTTTTTCTCTTTCACAGGCTATATTGGTGTTACATTGAACTACTTTAGTCGGCAGCTGGTTGCGCGTGAAGTGGAGCTAGAACGCATACGTCGTTCAACGCCACGTTTGGGCGCTGAAACGAGTAGTAAGTCAACTACCACTAATGGTGCTGGTGCTAATAAAGATGCTGAAAAACGTCTGCCAAATCATTTGCAACGTCTAAAGGCCAAGCAAGTCGATAATAAAAATGCAAATGCCAAGAGAGATGTAAGTATACATAAGTGAGAAGAGTAGATATGTAGTCAACAGTGAGGTATGGACTCTAGCCCGCATTTTGTCATAGATATGTACAGTCAGTGCCAACTGAAAGTGTACACCATATTTTCAAGAAAAACTTGTTTCATTAATTATTTATGAAAATATAGATTATTCTATAACAACAACCATATAAATCAAAGCTTCACACTTTATACAAAGTTCACAAAAATTCTAACAATTTTCAACAAAATTTAACAATTTGTATTCAGAATTTCTAGAAATTTTTCGAGTATGCAGTTTTGTAGCCCATTCAATTTTGATAAAACAAAGTGCCAGTTTCAAGTCGCTAAAAATTGCCGTTGATTTTTTAGAATTTTTTTGTTGGAGGGTGTTGCGCGTTTTCTTCCATATACAAATAGATTTTGATCACGCGTTATACTTAACTTTGATTTATATGGTGTATGTTATAGAATAATCTATATTTTCATAAATAATGAATGAACAAATTTTATCATTAAAATAAGTTTGAATATTGTATTAGAACAAGGTGTACACTTACATTTGGCACTGACTGTATGTTATCGTGCTTACCTAATGCTAGTCAATATCTTAAACTATCTCTTTTATATGCTCTATACCATAAATTTACATTTGCTCTATGAACAAACGATGAAAAGTTGTTCATTAAGCAAAATGCTGCTTACCATTTGCATGCCAAATACATAACTTGACTGAGAAGTGGTGACGTTGAAAAGCATTTTGTATGCAATATATGAATTTTTAGATGAAGGATTCTTTCTTTCTTCGATTACTAAGAAATTTATGTAACGATATTGCAAAAATTTCCAAAATATCTTACAACTTTAATGGAGAGTTTGTTAGCCGAATTTGATGTACTTAGAGCAAAAGATTGAAGCAATGAAAGTACAAGAAGTATGTTTCAATATTAAAAAAAAAAAGACTTTTTAATATACATACCACATTTTTATAAATATAAATATTTTTATAAATATAAATTTTTATAATTATAAACATAGACTAAAAAGTGTAAATATTTTTTCCTAGACTCATATGCAGTACATAATTAGACTTGATAAGTTTTGATTTGAAAATTTGAGCAATAATCGTTATAAACAATTTATGAGAGTTGATATTAAAAAACGTTGGGCGCATCTAATCTGTAGGCTTGATTGTGTTTAATGGACAGCAAAAGTCTACATACTATGATATGAAATCTTGGGATATCATGATCACTTTTGGGGCATTCGAAACAGTCGGCAACTCATTTCAAAATTATTTTCAAATGAAAACCTGTTTAACACAGTAATTCTGATTAAGATAGTTCTAAGATAATCGTAGTTTAAAAAATTTGTTTATTCTTGCACGAGAGTCTTACAAAAAAGCTCCCTTCCCAACTTTCATAGTAAAAAGCTTATTTGACAGGAACTACTTGAGCAAGTTCCAAAGGGAGATGTAGTATGTACGTCATTTGCTCGCGCTACTCCGCCAGTCGCAGTCTGCGAGTAAGCAAAGCCAAGGCACTGACGTGCCATTCGAGAGATACGAGGTTCGAATCCTCGGGCTTGTTGCTTTTCCATTTTTCCCAGCAAACAAAACGTGGTATAAAGCTCAATAACATAATAATAATAACAAAAAGGAATTATGCTTTTTTCTGTTAAAATTTTTTAAATTAAATTTTCTTTAAATTTTTAGATGTTATTTTAAAAAGAAAAAAAGAAATTTTTTTATTTTATTTGATTTATAATAAACTTTATCAGAAACTTTGTATATTTTTATTTAATTTATGTTTCTTTAAATTTTTAGTTTTTATTGTTAAAAAAATAATATTTCTTTAATTTCATTAAAATTTTAGGAATTCATTTATTGTTTTTGAATTTTTAGTCTCTTTTTGTATGTTTAGACCTAATTGTTTTAAAAAGAAAAATATATTTTTTGTATTAATTCATTTTTTAAAAACTTCTTTTACTTTGGCTTTTTTAGTTTATTTTTGTTTTTTAATTAAGTTTTCTTTTAATCTTTAGTTTTTATGTTAAAATTTTTTTTAACTTGGTTAATTTTTTTATTTGATATGATTTTTATAAATTTATTTTATAAATTTTTTAGTTAAATTTTTTCCCTTTCTAAGTCAATATGCTTTGAGTTTTTAGTTTTTATCGTTTTCATAAGACAAATATATTTTTTAATATTCATTTAAATTTTTATAAAAAAACTATAGCCAAAGGAAAAATAGAATAACGCATAGACCTCTCGTTAGCGGATTTTTTTAAATAGTCTTTCGAAATAGAGAAAAGAGCTTAAAAAATTGTTGACAAAGATGAAAGACAGTTGCCAGAGTTCCCCGTAAATCTCTGTTGTCTGACATTGTGATTCATATTTCAATTAACTGATGAGTTAAATAGGATTTTGGTGAAATATATGGCAACCCTCCTAAATATTGTATAGAACTGAAGCCTTTTCAAAACCATTTCGATTGATACTTATCGTTTAATAGTTCATTTAACTTATCAACAATTTATTTGAATGTAACTCTTTAAACCGATGGCAACCCTCTTCGGATAACTCAAAATTATTCGAAATGTACAAATTAAAGAGTTTTTAACAAACTATTTAATATTTCATATTTGTAACTTGTGTATAACTTAATTTAATTTGGCTTTCAAAAAAGATGAAATGCATTTATTTACCATCATCCCTAACAAACAGCACAATCCCTAACTTTGCACAATTCGAAATGAAATCTTTCACTGGTCACATCATCCTCCATGGCTTTTCTAAGGAAATTACCATTGCTTCGTGCAAATATCCATAAGGGGATTGCATACAAATGATGCGGCTTTAAGAATACCGTCTGCAGTCGAGTAAACAAATATTTATTGTCGCCCTGTTATGTTGTTGCCAAGTTGCATGCCACNTAACTGATATTGGGAAAGGATTTACAATTTTCACACTAAATGAGATAAATATCCTAGTACAATCAAACACAGTTACCAACTGAAGTTTTGATCTACATAAGTAATTTGATTTATTCCTTCATTTACAGGTCATTTCAAAGGACTTCTTTGGACGCATACAGCATAGAACGGCTGGTGGACATCGAGATGATTGTGAGTTAAAATTTTGTTGTTTATTCTTTTACTGATTGCTTTGAATTCTTTTATATATACATATGTATGTGCATAAGGGTGCGTCACAAAAAAAAATCTTGCGGTATAATATATTTATTATATTTTAAGACTTCTGCCAAAATATTTTGGAAACATACCGATTTGAAAATACATTCAAATTTTTTAACATTTTTATGCAGAGCTTTTAAGCATAAACTCCTCTATGATCTTAGGCGATTTTTTAGAAAAAATATTTTTCAAATATGCCCAGCTCACGTAAATTTTAATATTGTTCCGAAATACTTTGGCGAAAGTCTGAAAATAAAATAAATTTTATATGTAATTCCATTTGAAAACATTGCCAATTTTTTTTGTATTAATAGTGATGCACACTAATAATAATAAAATAATGTATCTTTTGAAAATTTCTATGTTTTTTTTTAATTTTTCAGGTAAAACGGATGCTATTGTTAAAAGCCCCATCTGGTATCGCTACAAGGAGGGTTTCAACAACGCTGTACGCAAGGATATTCATATGCACGAGCTGCTTTAATCGGGCACATCTTTTTCAACAGATGTTTTAAGGCGATAACAAAGCCACAATCTAAATTTATATTTAACCTTTTAGGTTAAAAAGCTGTCGTGGTGATTCTTTTCCAAAATCGGACATACATTTTACTTCTATTAAATCGCTAATTTATTTTTTTTAAGCAAGCAAAATATGTATGTACATATGTGAAAATAGCTGTATTTAATAAATATTCGTAATTTCTTACTCCTCACGAAGGACTTTTGATATAAAATTTTGGAGAAAAGAAGAGAAAAAGATTTTAGTATTTTCCTAAAATTGGAAAAATTAAGGGAAATGTCCTAATTAATCAGACACCGTACCGAATATGTTGTTTATAATAAAAAAACAGAAAATAACGTATCCGCTCCTTTTTAAAGGACAAAAAAAGGCAAAGTTTTCCTTGTATTTTATTTTTCTTTAGTAGAGAATAACCTTTACTGCTTCCTATTTAATTTAAGATCAATACAAAATCATTATTTTCTGATTCTTTTCAATCAAAAATAATAGTTATTTTGAACTTTTCTGGATAAAACCTGTAAAAATGTCAAAAAGCAAAATTGCTTTCAGTGAAAGAGAGAAAAACCTAAAAGTACAGCTTGCTACTCCTTGTGAGTAGGGAACGCAACTTTTATTTTTTCGAACATTCGTAGCCGTTATTTATGACCGATTTAAACCCTTTATAATCATAAAAAATACAGCTGAAAATATAAGTTATAATATGAACGAAAAAATACAAATCCAAAAATAACGATTATTCTTGATCGACACAATAAAAATTATAAACTAATTGTTAAATTTGATTGGAAAACAGAAATCTAATTTTACGGTGAAATTATGATTTTTATTATTAACATCAAAACCGTTACGGTCCCTGTTTTTAGATATTAATAAAAAGCGAAGTTAAGATTTCAATGTACTTTTAGACATGAAAGTTCCCGGAAGATCCCACAAACTTTCGAAAAGTGCCGAAAAACCTCGAAGGCTTCCGACAAAAATCCCAAATGACCTGATAACACCTAAATTATTTGCGAACTCGCAACCTAAAAATAAAATACAAAATATCCCGAAAACAACAAAAAATTACAAAATAATCTCATAATGTAAAACTCAAGGTACATACATATGTATGTATCTCAAAAGTATGTGGGAAAATCCCGAACTGACCGACCCGAAAAATTTAGAATAAAATCAAGGGATCTACTCTCTATCGCGTATCCAGGATGTGTTGTATTTCATTTTTATCAATGACTAAAAAGTCCTTTTGAAAAGGAAAACGATTTTTTAAACAAATTAGAATATTCGCGGACATATTTACATACATGTTCTGGCTGTAGCTGAGTCATCACTGCAGTCAGGAATGTAAATATGCTCAAAAATATTCTCCCTATTACATGTTGGGTTCTGAGAGACCGAAACGGTCTCGAAATGATGCCAAACTAGTCCCGAAATAGTCTTAAAATAGTCGTGAACAGGCCCCGAAAAGTTCGAAAATATCGTGAGCTGGGAAATTATCTCGAACAAGCATTGACGCGGTCCCGAAATGGGGCATTACCCATACCAAGTGCTAAGTTGTTTACACATCAATAAGTTTTTCTTCTATATAATTCCAGAATATCAGTGCTGACCCTCGTAAGTATTACTATCGCGCTAGCTGTTATAATTATTATAATGCGTTATTGTTGTCATTATATATTTTTGTCATTAAAATTAGTTTGTTGTCATCTCGTCATTGGTCGGTCAGCCGTTGTCAAGTGAATTGTAGTGATGATAGTGGCGCTATCGCTGCTGTCGCAGTCGCGGTCGATGTCGCTGCCGCTGCTGCTACTGATGCTGCTGCAGTTATTTTGTGTTGACTTCCAGCGGGAGCTTTGTTGCGCCGCTGTTGTGTTGTGTCGTTGATTGCGACAAGAGTTGAGTCGAGGCGGGTGTTATTTAAATAAGTATTGTTTTGATCGTTGCAATGGATTTGCGTAGCTTTGCTTTGTTTTGCATTTTGCTATTTGTTATTGGATTCATTACTACCACAGTGACGGCTAGACCGCGTGGACGACCGAGTAAGTAGAGTGGTGAAGACGGATGTGGGCGATAAGTACATACATACATCCGTACATAGTGAGCAGTTAATTAAGAAAAAAACAAAGCAAAGGCGTGGCGAAAAAAATACAAAAAATAGAAAAAAAAATTATAAAAATGGGCAGCCATTTTGTGCAATAAGGGCTGCTTCCCCCAGCCAGACCATCTTCAAAAAAAAAAAAATTGAGAATTTGTGTCTCCTAAATCCTGAACAAAATGCGTTAAGTATTTTTTATGCACTTTTCGGTCATTAGCTCTAATTTACGGTTAGCTCTATTCATCTCACATTTTGTGATTTTCCTTTAGATTATTTTTTACTTCTTATTATTTTTTTGTTAAATTGATAACACTGATACATACAAGTACACTACATATGTATGTATGATGTTTTACAGCTGTCTTCATTGCGTTATCAAGTTCAATACTACCGCCAAATTTAATGTTCTCTCCTCTTTAATTTTGCTTTTTCCCCAAAACAGACATATGCCTACAGCCACCGCCAAGGTCAGAAGGTGTTTGCACCATCGAAATTGAAGGTTTCTACTTTGATCACGCACCAATGATTGCCAAATGTATGTATTAGGCGGTTGTCGCACCGTTCCGGGACAAAGTTTTGGCTCACGGCAAGATTGCTTGGACACTTGTGTACATTTGACACGGCATATACAGGACTTGCGTATCAACGAATGAGTAATGGAGTTAGGCTTGGAGTAGCGAAATGAGCGGAATTGCTCGAATAGTACTTGAATAATCATAAAATAAATAAATAAATACATCCTTATGTATATGTATATATATATGTATAGTATATCTTGCATTTTTTATTAAAATATATTATGTATATTTTTTTTTGAAATTTTAGCAGATATATGTCCATTCCAAGAAACTACCCATGTAGACGAAAAATCTGCAAAGAGGTCTATTAAACCTTCTTGCGGTTGATTTATTATATAGATTGACCTTGGACATGAACTTTGTTCCTTGGAACTTCGAAAGTTTTAACACTGTTTATGTGGCAAATAATTTTCAAAAGTTATAAAAATTATTAAGTTTTGGTGCTGATTTATCTAAACACCTTGCAAAGTACTGGAAATTTTTTAACTTGCAACAATTTGCTAGTAAGAAAAACAGCTGATGGCGATGTCGCCAGGTGCAATCTAAACTAATAAGAAAACTGGTGATAGTTAAAGTTTGCGCAGAAGTCCACGAGAATTGGAAAAGCGAGCTAAAGTGAGAAGGCGTAATTCTTCGCTGGGTTTGGGTCCTCCTCTTTTCCAGGGATCTCTTCTATGAGCGCTTGCAGCGCACATATGAGCGCTGCCCCCGCCGTTATATCAGAATCGTGCTTAGCGACTTGAATGCCAGGGTAGAAAAGGAAGGGATCTTTGGTGCCAATTTCGGAAAATTCAGCCTACACGACGAAACGTCCGACAACGGACTGAGCATAAAAATATCCGTCAAGCTACGTGGTTGTCTCCAGATCGAAAAACGAGAAACCAAATCGAGTATGTTGTGATAGACGGAAGGCATGCTTCTATTGTTTTAGACGCACGTACACTCCGGGGGCCAAACATCGACTTGGACCATTATCTTGTCGCAGCCAAGATACTCACCCATCTATGTGCAGCAAAACATGTGCGACCAACATTTGGAGGAAAGCTTAACGTCGAAAAGCTGCAACCACAACAGACCACGATGCAGCGAAACAAAGGTGCCGGCTTCCGTGGACCGCTAACCTATCTTTGTCGATTTGATAGCATCCACCATTTCGCTGACGTCACATTAGTGTTTTTCGTGTATGCTGGTGGCACACCTCTTGCTTCGGTACCATATACCTATACTTTTGGATTTACATCAAACAATCTGTTCTATTAAAATGACCTTGAAAGGAATGTCTCCGAGCAGTTGAAGCCAAATCTATTTTTTAACCAATGTTTATGCCTATTTACAAAGGAGGGAGGCTATTAGAATTCCCACACTGGAAAACGTCTTGAAATTCCTTGGAAAATAAGATAAATATTTTCGATAAGTGATTTGGCTACGNCCACCCTATTGAATGGCAGAAACATGGAAAGTAGTGACGAAGGAGAAGAACTCGAGCCCGCAGTAGATGATGACGGAGTCGATGTTCAACCGCCTGAATAGGACCAGGTACGAATAGCAATAACGCGGCTGAAAAACAACAAAGCTGTTGGAGCTGACAGCCTGCCAGGAGTTGATAAGGTACATGGTCAGATGAACGCATGCTCGACGAATGGAATTTAAGTGTGCTCTGCCCAATCCACAAGAAAGCCTTCTGAGCATAGGTTACAAGGTCTTGTGAAGTGTATTGTGTGAGAGACTGAAGCGAACTGATTAGACCTTATCAGTGTGGATTTAGACCTGGCAAATGCATCATAGTCCATAAAGCACGAATATAAGTTGTCTTTATGCCGCTATGTCTGAATTTGGTATCACAGCAAAAGCACTGCGATGGAAAGACTAAGTGGAGAAGGACTTGGCTTCACGTGGCATTTCCAAGTGGCATCAGTTGGCACAGAAGAGAAACGGCTGGCGTGCTTTGTCGAACTCGGCCAAAATCACATAGGCGGTTACAGCGGTTACAGAAGAAGAAAGATGACGTGGAAGCAAAGAACTTATTAAGCATCTAGCTGCTATTTTCTTACATATACAAAGCTTTCCAACATTGAATCAGATGTGTTTTTCATCTTCTGTGGCCGCTACAGTAAAATTTCGTATTTTTACCATATTGGCTTAAATATTTCGAGTATTCGAATTTCGAAAAATAGCTATTGTTGATAAAATTCGAACATTAGTCAACCTTTGAAGACATTCGA